AAAATTTAATGGAATGAGAAAAAAAAATACGCAAACCATCTTGAGCAAAAACATCAAAGCAGGAGGCATTAAACTACCTGACTGCAAAATACTGTACAAAGTAGTGCTCCAACAACATGCAGCTATGTGGGCTGGGGAATGGAACAGAAGAGCCTACAAGTAAACCACACATTGTCAGCCAACTGAGTTTTGACAAGGTGCTGAGACCACTGACTGGGGAAAGCAGTCGTTCCAATAAATGGAACCGGAAAAATTGTCTACCCCATACACAATGATGAAGCTAGACCAGGACTAAACTAATGGTTTCAAACAATCAACTCAATATGCGTGAAATATTTACATGTAAGGCCTGAAACAATGGCATTATTTGAATAAAAACAAACAGCAGATATGCTTCAATACCCTGAAAGGGGCAAACATCTTTTGGGAGAAGAAATGCATAGGAAACATAAGCAAAACAGACAAAGGGAATTGTATAAAGAAAAAACTTCTACAAAGAAAAGTCAACATATTGAAGAGACAAACTACACGATGAATGAAAATATTTCAAAACAATACATCTGACAAGGGTTGTTATCTATAATACAAAAACAACTCCAAATCTCAAAAGGGGGGAAAAAAGAAAAGAAAGGCAAGAAAGAAGGAAAACAATCCTATTAACAACGGGCAAAGGACTTCAATTGACATTTCTAAAAAAGAGACATACATATAAATGGCCGAGTGGTTCATGAAAAAACACTCCACATCACTAATCATCAAGGACATTCATGTTTATATCACAGTACACCTGGCATGGTGGCACAAACCTGTAATCCTAGCAGCTCTGGAGGCTGAGGCAGGAGGATTGCAAGTTCAAAGCCAGCCTCAGTCATTCAGCGAGGGCCTAAGCACCTTAGCAAGACCCTATGTCAAAGTAAAAAAAGGGTTGGAGATGTGGGTTGAGTGGTTGAGTGCCTCTGGGTTCAATTCCTGGCACCAAAGAAAAAAAAATAAAATCACCTCACAGTAGTAAGAATGGCTTTATCATAAAGAACAGAGATAACTGGTGCTAACAAGTTCTGGAGAAGGGGAACCCTGCACATTGTTGTTGGGAAGGTACATTAGCACAGCCAGGATAGAAAGCTGTATGGAGGTTCCTCATAAAACTAAGAATAGAGCTATCACATGATCCTCTAATCTCCCTACTGAGAATAATTCCAAGGAAATGGAATCACTGTGTCAAAGAGACATCTGCAGTCCTGGGTGACTTGCAGCAGCTGAGGAAAGGAAAATAGCCGAGTATCCCTCAAATTATGAATAGATAAAGAGAACACGGTGCAATTCCACCAAGGATGCTAGTCAGTCATAAAAGAGAATGGAATCCTATCATTTGTGACCATATCATTGTGTTAAGTGAAATAAACCAGGCTAAAAAGACAATTATTGAATGATCTCCCCCATATGTGGAATGTAGAAATTTTGATCTCATTGAAGTTGGGAATTGAATAATGGTTACAAGAGTCTAGAAAGAGTAGGAAGGAAGGAGGAATGGGGAATGATTGACTGTTGAGCCCTAATTCACAGTTATACAGGAGCAAGAAGTTCTCGTGTGCCATTGTGTAATAGAATGACTATGTAATACTTATGTACTGTTTCCTTCAAAAGGCCAAAAGAAAGGAATATTAATGTTTTTAGTATAAGGAAATGATGAGTGTCTGAAGAGACTGCCATTTTTAACCTGATGAAACATTGCAAAGTTTATTAACGCATAAAAACATCTCATGGTTTTTCATCCATATAACTTTCATGTTGTCATTTATCAGTTGAAATACATTTCTATATTAAAAATGTACTAACCATCTTGATCCCTACAGGCAGTTTAATTGCTTCTTCCCTGCCAAAGTAGGATCAGGAGCTGTAGTTAGTCTCACAGGAGAAATCTCCAGAGATCTCCAAGTTTCCATAATTCTCTCCAGATCTCCATGTGTTTGCCTCTGAAATCCCAATGCCTCAAATTCACTGTTTGAAAAGGAACACACTATATGCTGTATACCACGGCCATCGGACACCGTTTTGTCATCTGAATGATCATCATGCTCAGGCCTTCTTTGATCTGAAGATTTGCTATGACCCTCAGCCATGATCAGGGAAAACACTCATAGTTAGTAATCATATTGGTTGGCTTTTAAATGATACCCTCTTCATTAGATGCATTGAAGGCCTGTCTTATTTGTTATGAATAGACACTAGCTATGAATTGAGTGAGACAATCTTTCATTTTTATTTTCCTAATAAGTGGCCCTTCCAAGATACAGAAAACGTTGAGTAGATTCTTAACAATTCATGTTAAGAGTGTTCTCTTCTTTTCATGCATCTCTTAGAGAAGTTGAAAACTTTGGACTACTACCTGAGAAAGAGATACCTATCTTCTAATAGCATTTATACAATATTCCATTGTTGGTATTATGATTTAAGATGAGCTATTTTGGATTGACTGATCTTACTACTTCAGTAAACTGGTAAGCTTATATATTCCATAAATGTTTAAGTGAGAAGTGTAATTCATGCAAAAGCAGTGGGGTAGCTATACCGAATATGAGTTATTTGAAAAAAAAGAGAAGCTTTCAAAATGTATCTAAAATGATGAACAACTCCACAGTATATATGTCAAAATATCTATTAAAAGAAATTTGTGATTAATAAAAAAGCATACTTCTTTCCCCCAAACTGAAAATAATAAAAGATGTTGCTTTGGTGGATTATAGGAAGACATTAACTTATTTACTATAGATTTATATCTCATTAGAGGTTAAAATACAAACAACCAACCAAGGATAATGAAATGATTCTTCTTTAAACTGCAAAAGGATTCTAACTGAAATACTGAGGTTTAAACTACATTTGAACTCTTTTACCATTGTCTCAGGCTTATTCTCTGATGTGGCTTTAATTGTGAGTCTTGAGTCTTTCTCATAACACACATAATTTAGAGTATCACACAATGTCTCAAATACTCAGTGTACTTACTGAAGTAACAGTTGTGTACTATCTACCTTTGACGTGATCACAATAACATAATTTATTTGTAAATCTCTTATCATTTGCTGTAGAATAGCACATGCTGAAAGTGATCATGTTTAACATTTTCAACCAAGTATCTTCATGGAGCAGACTTATGGACTGAAGCTGCAAAAGTCTGAGGAAAAAAAAAACTGGTAAGGGGTACTAGTTAGTTTTACATAAACACTTTTTAAAATTTTTAATTCAAATAAATAATTGGAAAATATTTTTTACTACTTAAGGACCTATTCAAATAAAATATTGTATAATATTGAACTTGCACCAATATGAAGCTAAAAATAACCCATCAACTGGGAACTTTCAACCCTGGGTCTCTATAATGTGGCTATGGAATGACAGTATGAGAGAAAGAATGTGTTTTAAGAGAAATGGACTCTTTTATTTCAACTAAATTATGGATTTAAAGGAAGAAATTTCCAGTAAAATTGACCCACATAGTATTGCAGCAGCAGTATTCATATGCTGGGGCAGAGAAAGACTGAAAAACATTGGGGGGGGGCAGAGAATCTCACTGGTCCTAGCACAGGAACAAAGGCCCTTTGGGAAGAGAGGTTTCAATCCAAACTCCAGACTCAAGCCCTGAATGACAACAAGCATGCTGATCAAACCCACAAAAAGACATGTTCCCGACCCAATAACAACACCATGGATAGTACCCCTGAGGCTGTGCTCCACTACCTGCACTTTATCCTCCTTTAGATATTACCATCTTTAATTCTCACAGGTAGATCGCATGACTTTTCTTTAATATTAGTTTCACTAAGAAGGTCTCATTAACTTTTTTATCTTGCAGATGGAAACAGGATGCTCAGTGGAGCTGGTCTGGGACCAGTGACTTCTGTGTGATCAATGGTAAGTCTGATGTGAATTTCTTCTAGGAATCTACGCTCTTTCTCTGCTCCATGAGGTTATATGACTTCTCTCACAATTTCCTCTGCAGGCCAAACATGTTCTCACCATGCTGGTTGTCCTACCACATCTACTATGAATAGAGACATGCCGTGCTGGTTCAAGAGATAAACCCTTCTTCAACATAGGTTAAATTGTATGCTTTCTGCCATCACAGTCAATGTGTGTAGATGCACGGATGATAATAAGCCTGAGACTATGGGGAAAAGCTTGGAGTGGAATTCAGATGTTTTTAATTCATTTCAGACCATTCTGTCATTGAAAGACGGATCATTGAACTTCAGGGTTTTTCTTTGCTTCTTTCTTGTACCTCCAGCAAGAGACAAACTTGTAGGGACTCAGTTCATTATGAAATCCCAAACACTGAATTTGAATCAAAGGAGACAAGGCATAATGATAACCTGAGTCAAATTTCAATTTGATTTAAATTCAATATAGCCTGTTACATATAGGAACCAATCAGCATGAGTTAAAGGTTGGTCTGGGACCAGAGCAGAAATTATCAATTAATAATTGTGCAACTATTAATATTTCTCAACATCTGCTGGCAAATATTTACATGAATGTAACAAAAAAAATCAAACTCACCACGGAGAGGAGAGTGTGAATGCACATTTACATTTTCCATAGCAGTTCTTAGTGGGTGAGTGATATGGAAACTCACCTTTCACTGAGCCCAGAAGAAGTGAACCAACAGATAGCTTTAGCCACATACATCCTTTTTATTGTTATTAAATATTTTACATATCAGATAATAAATATGTAAAAATTTAAAATTGGGCTCTGAGTCATTATGATTCCTGATTCCACAGTATATAACTCTAGACTTTCATACAGCACTAAATTTGATTTTCAAAAGCCTATGCTTTTCCTGGAAAATCTCAAAGTACAGGTTGTTACTACAATGAAAGAATACAATAAAAGAATAGACCTTGAAGTTACACTTTTCCTCTTCAATTGAAATTCTTTATCATTTTTTGCTTTTTTCCCTTCATAGCTGTAGAAGATCTAGAGATTTTCAGACAATGTAAATGGAGAACAAGACAGAAATGACCCACTTCATCCTGCTGGGACTGACCAATGACCCAGGTCTGCAGCTTCCCCTCTTTGTGACCTTCCTCCTCATCTACACCATCACTCTGGTTGGGAACCTGGGGATGATCCTGTTGATTCTCCTGGACTCCCGTCTCCACACTCCCATGTACTTTTTCCTGGGTAACCTGTCTCTGGTGGACATCTGCTACTCTTCAGCTGTCACTCCCAAGGTCATGGCTGGGCTCTTTCCTGGAGATGAGGTCATCTCCTACCTTGCATGTGCTGCTCAGATGTTCTTTGTTGGAGCCTTTGCTACTGTGGAAAATTACCTCTTGGCCTCAATGGCCTATGACCGCTATGCAGCAGTGTGCAAACCCCTGCACTACACCACCACCATGACCACAAGTGTGTGTGCATACCTGGTCATAGGCTGCTATTTCTGTGGTTTCCTGAATACCTCCATCTACACTGGGAACACGTTCAGTCTCTCCTTCTGTATGTCTCACGTGGTCCATCACTTTTTCTGTGATGTTCCAGCAGTCATGGTTCTCTCTTGCTCTGATAGACATGTTGGCGAACTGGTTCTTATTTATGTCGCCAGCTTTAATATCTTTTTTGCTCTCTTTGTTATCTTTATATCCTACATATTCATTTTTATCACCATCCTAAAGATGCGCTCTGGTGCAGGACATAGGAAGGCTCTGTCCACCTGTGCCTCCCACCTCACTGCAGTCTCCATTTTCTATGGGACTCTAATCTTCATGTACTTACAGCCCAGCTCCAGTCACTCCATGGACACGGACAAGATGGCCTCTGTGTTCTACACCATGGTCATCCCCATGCTTAACCCTGTGGTCTACAGCCTCAGGAACACGGAGGTCAAGAGTGCATTCTCAAAAATTCTTCTGGAAGGAAAATAATCCATAAGATTCTGAACTTCACTCTTTGAGATGAGCAGGGCCTGCATTCCCTCTTCTCTGATATCCTGCATGTACTGTGTCATTTTGAAAACCTGCACTGAGTGCACTTTCCTGAAGTGACACATTTTCCACTGCAAAATCTACTGCCTGGTGAAAGGGAAATGTATGGAAACACAACGGCTGAGTGGCAATGTGAGTTGTATCTTGGCATTTGCTTATTGAAGAAATTGATAATTTAATGTTTCCTCTGCTTTTTCAAACTGTGTCACTATGAATGTATGTAAAATAAGTGGATAGGAAGACCATGAACAGAACGTGGCCCATTGCCAGAATAAACATAATGTGGCTACTGTGGTAGTTACTTTTGTGTAAATTTGACCATACTAGGAATATCCAGAGATCTGGGGAAGCATTTCTCTGTGTGTTTCTCTGAGGTTGTTTGCCAAAGAGAGAACTTTGAGTCAGTCGACTTGTCAATAGGGTGGCTATCATCCAATTCATCAAGAACTCACCTGAATAGAAAAAAAAAAGGCAAGAGAAGGATAAATTCTTTCTCCCTTTTTCCCTCTCCCTCTCTATCTTTGGACAGAGGCATCTGTCTCTCTCACTCTGAACCTCAGAGCTAATGGGTTTCAGGTTCTTGTTCTCCACTAGACACACTAGACAAACCTTGCCCTCCTCATCATTCCAGGTTCTCTGTCTTGTAGACAGAAAATCATGAGTCTGCTCAGTTTCCATAATCACAAGAGCTCATACCCATAAAAAATCTTCTCTTACACATTTCTATATACTATTGATTTTGTTTCGATAGAGGGCCCTGAATTATAAGAGCAGGGTTTAGCGATCCTAATTTAGTATTTAATTTGGTTATGAAAATATAAATTGAAATCTAATTAATTTTTCTTTTTTTACATTTTGAAAAGCCCTCATTTGAGGAAAAATATGATATACTATGAAATGAAAGTTGTTTTTTCTTGATCATTTTAAAAATAGATATATAATTCTGGCACCTTTGGGTGAATCAATATTTCTGTTTGAGATATTTTGTACAATCAACATATTCATGTTTTGATAGTCATAGGCATAAAATAACTAAATTACCAAAACTATTGAGGAAAATCATAGCAATTTAAATGTATTATGTATTATTATTCAGGCTACTTAAACTTTACCATGAAAAACCACTGATGGTTTATTTTTATTTTTATTTATTTTTTTGGGTACCTGGGATTGATCTCAGGGACACTCAACCCCAAGCCACATCCCCAGCCCAGTTTTGTATTTTATTAGAGACAGGATCTCACTGAGTTGCTTAGCACCTCACTTTTGCTAAGGCTGGCTTTGAATTTGCAATCTTCCTGCCTCAGACTCCTGAGCCACTGGGATTATAGGTGTGTGCCACTGAGCTTTGCCTTTCTCTTTTTATTTCCAGAAATGCTTTAAAATTGTCAATACTGACCATTCATTCTTTACTTATTGAGCTATACTCTCTATTGTCACTTCCCCAGTCTTTTATGTCACTCTAGGCTCACTAATTTTTTTCTCTGTTTTTTTTTTTTACAACTCCAATGATGTAAGGACCTTTGTATGTTCTTTTTCCTGTGAGAAATAGTCTTATTCCATTCAGATATTCTGTGAAGTATTAACCTATCATGTGTCCTGTCCATCTATATAAAACACTCATTTTCCATTTACTATAGGAAATGTCCCCTTATCCTATATCATTCTTCACAAACCTAATGAACCCTTGTCACCTTATATTCACTTACCCAATCCTCATTTATCTTCCCAGTCTAGAAGGTAAACACCCATGATCAGTGACTTTGTGTTTCTGTTCAAACATGATAATCAGTAACTGAACAGAGGTCAATTTCCTAGTAGAATCAACAGAACTTTTTTAAATGGATGAACACATGAATAAAGCTTGGATTTCAACTGCACCAATAGGTTGGCCTTTGAATCATGGATGGTGAGAGCAAGTCTTGCAGAAGATAAGCCTTCTAGATAAATATCCAGTACCTTGCTAGAGAAACAGCTAATTTTCTGCTTTTCTGAGATAACTTTTTTCCCTATAATTTCTCTCAGTTCTCACACTCCTCACTTTTAGGCAAAGTGGTTTTCTGGGATTCCTAAGAGAGCTGATTACACACTCTCATAATTTTAGTAAAAAGTAATGTCTCATTAAGTGGCAAGGAAAATGTCAAATAAGTACTACTTAGGAAATCATAAACACAAGATACATTAAAGGCCTCACTTCTGGTTATTTTTTAAAAATTAATTCATGCACACAAATTATACTACTGACTAGAAAGACTCTTAATGTCTATGTTCAGTACACATAGCAAAGGAATGTGCCTCTATGTGTCATTTGTTATCACTATCACAGTGGGAGGCTTCAACATCACTGGGATTGAGCGGGTTAAGATGGTGGTCCTGGGACTCGTGAAATGTTGTAGGATAGGTCTACTATGCATTTCTATTGATGATGCTGTTTTCCCAGTGGAAGCACGTCTAATTACTGTTTCAATGGTCATTTAATGTTACAATTATTTTGCATTAATGGAAAACTTCCAATGATAGTGCATAGTGTGATTGACATATGACACTTTGGTGGTCTCGAAAATGGGCCAAAAGGTCCAAAGTCTAATTTTTGAAACCTTAGATTATTACATCTCAAGGCACTGAAGGACTATAATGATCTGATTAAAGACTTCAAGAATGAGAAAATATTGGGATTATCAGGGGATGCCCTAAAATCAATGCCATGTATCCTTAGGAAAGTGAATTAGAAGATTTGTTTGTTTGTTTTTTTGTTTGGGGTACTAGGGATTGAACCCAGCAGTGCTTAACCACTGAGATACATCCTCAGCAACCCCCCGCTTTTTTTTACATATTTTATTTCGAGACAGGGTCTCACTGAGTTGCTGAGTGTCTAACTGAGTTGCTGAGTCTGGCAACTCGCAAACCTCCTGCCTCATCTTCCCAAGGCATGTACCACTGCGCCCTGAGAATTATAAGCTTTAACCACAGACAAGAAAGGAGTTGGCAATCTGACCATGGAAGCAACATTAAAATGATAGGGTCATGAGCCATGGAATTTCAGTCACCCCCGGAGCATGGGAGAGGCAAGAAATTGAATGACTCCTAAAACCTATGGAATGAATGTGCCTCTGTCAAACAGTACCTCTCTGTCACACCACACCTCTCTGTCACACCACTGATTTCTACTCATTGGGATTAATTTTAGACCTTTGGTTTTCAGAGCCATGAAAGAATCAATATGTGCTTTGTAAGCCTCCAAGTCTGCAGCAATTTGTTACAGCAGCCATTGGACACTAATACAAATTGCCATCTGGCTTATTTATTCTTTGTGATAATCATACATTACTACTGTATGTTAGTTTGGTGGAAATCATAAGTGAAACCATGCTTCCATGTTTTGGAGGGTAACCTGCCCTACCCAGTGTTCACTGGCTTAAAAGTTTGCATCATCTAAAAATATCTACCAAGTGGATACACAAAAAGTAATTGTTACAAGTCTGTCCTTTGTTATCTTGGAACTTACAAAGGGCTTTTTAAAAGACTTCATCTCCAAATAAAGACAATAACAAAGACATTCTTCTGCCTCATGTGATGTCACTGTCCTGGCTACAAATGACGCTGATCTCTCCTCACTGGAGGATGCAATGAAACCTGATAAAGTTCACACTTACTCTTGATATCCTTCACAAAAAACTTGTTTGCAAAGTTAACAATAAAGTACTTAAATACCCTGTTCAAAAGTGCACTCATCAAATCACTCATGATAATGGGATAATGGAGTGGAAGAACATACACAGGAATATATTCAGATACACGCACACATTCAAAACCAAATGAATAGGAAACTCATGATAATTATAATCTTAATTTCTCTAAGTGGTCATTAACTATAAATTCATATTGGTAAGTACCTATCACCACTACACATTCTGCTGTTGCATTTTTCCTTAACCAAGCAACTTGGATGGCCGTGGTTATTTACCTGGTAGGTTGATCTGATTTCTTATTTCTTATTCCTCAACATCTTGGGAAAACTAATACATATTCATTATTGCAGTTGTTTTAGTCTTCCATTGACCCTAATTTCCAAGAATGAAAATGGTAAGAGAAGCCCTAAAGAATCTCCTGTACTTCAGACATACTCATAATTATCTCTATTATAAATATTTGTCTAGTGTCTGGTAGTCAGGATCAATCACTAGTGAGAACTTCGAACATTTAGGGGCCTATTCAAAGGTATGATAAACCCAAGGAGGACAAACAGCAAACTTATCTTCTAATTCAATACAATCATTTGATGTGTCTCTTGGTAGACCATTTCTTCAGCATTGATACCACTCCCATCTTTACCCCTTGATTCCTGGAACCGTGAATCCTGTCAATTAGATAAATAGGACCGTATGTTGGGAGCTGATTCAGAACATGTATAGCCTCTTGCATAATTTTTCTTAGCCCAAATTGTGGCTCCAGCTGGAAGTCTAATGGAGACTTCAAAAGGACATTCAGCCATTGTTTTGTGACAGTGTTCCCAGATGGTGCAGAACATGATGGAACAGTAAATGCCATGAGCCTAGAGCTGTTGCTCCACTTCATTTCTGTGAAGTGAGTTACTTAATGATAATCATTACCGTGTGGAAGGCCACGGTGGTTTATATAGGTTTCTGTAATCCATGTACAATAGGCATGATAGAAGCATTATGTGCAGGGAAGGCAACCTTTTTTCATAGTGTCTTTTCTAGTAAGAACAAAATGTCACAGTTCCACGATGGATTTGTTTCAATGTAATTAACTTGCCACTCATTCACAGGGTGGTCAACCTGAGAGATGGTACCACATCAGGGACTCCGTTTCTACAACTGGCAGATCCAGCACTGAGCAGGGGCTATAGTCAGTCAATCCACGAGGAAGCATATATGCTGTGGCCTTTTTATAAGCTCCGTCCCTGCCAGCATGATCAC